CTTTGCCGGCGGGCGCGCGCCAGATTTGGCGCCGCTTTTCGCCCGCAGCCCCGCGGCGGGCGCGTCGACGCGCGGGGGCGGCCTCATCGCCGGCAGCTCGGCTTGGCGCCAGCATTTTCCGACCGCGGCGGCGGCTGTCGGCGCGCCCTTTGGGCTTCGCTCTCGGATCGGCCCATTGCTGCGCGCGTCATTCGCACCTGCGCGCGGGCGCCGCTCGCGCGCGACGTAGCAACGGCGCCTGCGACCAGCGGCGCGTTCCCGCGCGCCCGAGGACCGGCTGCGCGCTCTCAGCCATGGTGGGCACGGGGCGACCAGCCGCGCCCAGGAGCATGAATGGGGGCCGACCCGCGCCACACGCAGCCGCGGCATGACGCGAGGGGCGCGAGCGGCGCGGAGCGCGGGCGCCCCCGCCGAAATGGCGACGATGGAGGGCCCATCCCCTAAATTTTCTTCCTCGACCCCCTCCTCACCCCATCCCCCCCTTCCCCCGCATCCCCATCCACCGCCTAATTATATTCCTCCTGCTCCTGCTCCTGCTCCTGCTCCTCCTTCCCTCTCCTACATGCCGCAGCTGCGGCGCCCAGGCTCGGAAGTGAACTTGCGAGACAAAACGAGTCATTGGTTGCCCCTGTTCGTGGGCCGCGCTCATTGCTATTCGAGGTCGTCCTCGGGTTGCTTCACTGGCCACTGGCAGACAGCTTGGGGGCGGTATTGGTGGGCTCGTGGAAGCGCGTTGGAAGCTATACTGAACAATGTTGGGCTGCCTTGCGCCGTCTGTGGGGCGATCCATGTAGGGTAATCTGGGGGCCCTTTCGGGGTCACTTCGGGGCATCTCTGCAAACTCTAACCGCGGGCGCGGGGAACAACAGATTCCAGACCCAGGGGGGATGGGGGGAGGGGAGGGGGGCGGCTTTCCCCGAATGGGAAGAAGAGGGTTGGACACGCGAAGGTCCAACACCATCAGAGCCCAGACTGTTGGTGGGTTTGCAAAACTGCTGTTGCCCCCTGCTTACAGGGGGTCGCATCCAATTGCGCGTTGTACCTGCGACCTGATGCGATTGTTGGTCAGGCTGTCTGGATTACGCCTGTAGGCTGCCGAGGCATTTTTCTGAAAACCGTAAGCCGGTTCATAACCAATTCAATACTACATGTTTTGGAATCGCTGTCAGGATCATTCCTACGGGCAAAGCACTTTTCAAGATCACGAGGACGACGAGGAGGATGGAGAGGACGAGGAGGAACATCTGGAACGTGAAATGGAGGCGGAGGAGGAGGGCGACGATGAGGGTGATAGAGTGATGGCTGTGGTCCAGGGGGTTGTAGGAGGAGGTGCCAGGGGAGGGGGAAATCCAATGGCACGATAGGAGAATGGAGGGCCTGGACTCCAGGCCCTGGGGGAGGAAATGGAGGAGGGGGCCGATGAGGAGGAGGAGGGGGAGGAGGAGGAGGAGGAGGAGGAGGAGGAGGAGCAGGAGGAGCAGGAGGAGCAGGAGGAGCAGGAGGAGGAGGAGGAGGAGGGCGCGCTGCCCGCGGATCTTCGCCGGCACACTGCAGCGGGGAATCCCCATTACACGCTGCTGCCTCTGATTTCTGACTTCTAGCCTTATCGCCTCCGACGGGTTGCTGAGGCCTCAAAATTAGTCCCTGGAAGCCCGTAGAACCGCAGGAGGCCCCGAAACGCCCTCAACCCAGGACGCTCCAAGAATCCTGAAGACGCCCCAAAAGGGACCCAAGAGGCCTCCAAAAGACTTCCAAGAGGCCCCCCGTGCATCGCCCAAACGTCTCCCAAGACCCCGGGATACACCAGCAGGCCCGCGAGAGGCCACCTCGAGCCTCCAAGAAGCCCCAAGGCCCCCCAGAGGCCCCACAAGGCATCCGCAAATTCCCCCCAAGGGAGCCCAAGACGCAGTCGAAAAGCCCCCCCCCAGAGACGCCCAAGAGGCTTTCGAAACGCTCCCAAAATAGCCCTTGGAGGCTCCACGCGGTCCCTGTGAGACCGTTCGGAAGTTTCCGAACGGTTCGATTTCACCAAATTCCCACGCTGTAGATGATCGAATCTTCGACAGGAATGCGTAGCCTCAGTGTGTGTGGCATGTTTAATTTTGTTGCCATTAGTTGAGTTCTCGTTTTGACAAGAGCTCTGTGCTCTCCAACCTCCTTCCTCTTTCCTCCTTTCCTCCTCCTCCTTCCCCTCTTGCCTCCTGCGCCCTGCCTTCTGAGAGGTCCAGCAGAGTGGCTCCCTGGGAGGCTGCGAAGCGTGAAGCTGTCGCCATATTCGTGGGCTCCTGGGAGGTCGCGCGGAGTGGAGTTAGACGGGCACCCAGTGGAAACCTTGCGGCTCGCAGGTGGGCTGCGAAGTCTGAAATGGTCGCCCTTTCGTGGGCTCCTGGGAGGTCCAGCGGAGTGGAGTGGTACGGGGATCCATTTGAGACTTCGCGGTTCCCTGGTTGGTTGCGAAGCGTGAAATTGTCGCCACGTTCGTGGGTCCATGGGAGGTCCAGCGGAGTGGAGTTACATGGGGATCCAGTTGAGACCTCGTGGCTCCCTGGGGGGCTGCGAAATGTAAAATTGCCGCCATTTCCGTTGGTTCTTGGGAGGTCCAGCGAAGAAGAGTGGTACGAGGATCCAGTTGGGACCTCGCGGATCCTTCGGGGGCTGCGAAGTGTAAAATTGTCGCCACTTTCGTGTGCTCTTGGGAGGTCCAGCTGGATGGAGTAGTACGGGGACCCAGTTGAGACCTCGCTGCTCCATGGGGGGCTGCGAAGTGTGAATGTGTCGCCACATTCGTGGGCTCATGTGAGGTCCAGCGGAGCAGAGTGGTACGGGGGCCAAGTTAAGACCTCGCGGCTCCCTGTGGGGTTGCGAAGTGTGAAATTGTCGCCATTGTTTTGGGCTCCTGGGAGGTCCAGCGGAGTGGAGTTGTACGGGGATCTGGTTGAGACCTCGCGGCCCCCTGGGGGGGTGCGAAGTGTGAAATTGCCGCCACATTCGTGGATCCCTGGGAGTTCCAGCGGAGTGGAGAGGTACGGGTGCCCAGTTGAGACCTCGTGGCTCCTTTGGGGGGCTGCAAATAACGAGATTCTTGCCACTTCCGTTGCCTCCTGGGAGGTCCAGCGACGTGGAGTGGTACGGGGATCCAGTTGGGACTTCGCGGCTCCCTGGGGGGCCGCGACGTGTGACATTGTCGCCATGTTCGCTGACTCCGGGGGGGATCCACTGGAGTGGAGAGGTACGGGACCCAGTTGAGAACTCGTGGCTCCTTGTGGGGTTACGAAGTGTGAATGTGTCGCCAATTTCGTTGGTTTTTGGAGGTCCAGTTGGGTGGAGTAGTACGGGGACCCAGTTGAGACCTCGCTGTTCCCTGGGGGGCTGCGAAATGTGAGTGTGTCGCCACGTTCGTTGGCTCATGTGAGGTTCAGCCGAGCAGAGTGGTACGGGGGCCCAGTTGAGACCTCGCGGCTTCCTGTGGGGTTGCGAAGTGTGAAAGTTTCGCCATTGATTTGGGTTCCTGGGAGGTCCAGCGGAGTGGAGTGGTACGGGCCCAGTTGAGACCTCGCGGTTCCCTGGGGGGAGGGTGGGACTGCGAACTGCAAAATTGTCGCCACGTGCGTGAACCCCTAAGTGGTCCAGCGGAGTGGAGTGGTGCGGGGATCCCGTCGAGGCCTCGCGGTTCCCTGTGCTCCTCGCAGCAGGGAGGTTGGCGCGCGAGTTCGGCCTGGAGCAGTTCCTGCCAAGTTCCTGCACGACTGGCAGAAGCACTTGCTTGCGGTGCCAAGCAAGTGTGGTAGCTGTCGCCAGCGCCTCAGTGGCGGGGGCGGCGACGAGAATTGCAATTGACGGTGGCTGCTCATCCAAATGGCAGCAGTTCCCATTGCGCGCGGCGTTGTCCCGTCACGCAGCGCTCGGCGCTGTCGCATCGCAGTATCGCAGCTAGAGCGGAGCCGCTGCGCCACGCAGCGAATGGAGCTGTCTTCTGCCCGCGTGGCCTCCCATCATCAGCTGCCCCTGGTCCGCCATTCCACCCCTTGCGCTTGCCTCGCTCAGCACGACGCGCTGTTCGGCCTCAAAGCGCATGTTGCTGTTCTGTCCCGCGTATGTAGCTCTCGGCGCTGCCACTGATTCTGGGCATGCATGCCCCCCTTATTCCTTCCCCCGCACGCTTTTGCCCTCCGCCCCTGTCTTGCCATTCTTGCGTTTTGACGTTGTGTACTTTGAGTTGTTCATGCGCGCTGCGATTCCTTCAGCGTGTTCGTTTGTGATGACCGGTCCTAGTTCTATTCGGCATACATTTTGGAAAAACAGGTGTGGCTGGTCACTTAGTAATCGTTTCAGTTCGAGTCTCGTTGGTTTGATGAATTGGTTGTGTTCGTTGCGGACTGGGTCGCTTCAGTTGTATTCGTTGTTTCTTCCAGGGTTTGTTGTAGTTCCTCGCAGGATCCCCGATTTGTCCCCTGGAGCAGTTGGCCGGGCGAGGGGATCTAGCATGTTATAATCTATAAGTTATAAAGCATGTGGAACGGCAGAGGCAGTGGCGGGGCCAGCAGTAGCGGGAGCCCCTCAAAAGGCAATCGACCTCAGCAGCAGTTGCAGCACTCGCAGCGGGGGTGGCAAGGGGCTCATGCCAAGAGGGCCAGGCCAAGGAAGAGGCGGGGGAGGAGGAATGAGGGTTGGCGACGGGGAAAAGGAGGAGGAGGAGGAGGAAGCGGGAGGAAAAGGAGGAAGCGGGAGGAAGAGGAGGAGGAGGAGGAGGAGTGGGAGCAGGAGGATGGGCAGGGGAAGGGGGAGGGGAAGGAGGAGGGGGCTCGAGCGTGGCAGGAGCAGGGCGCCGACGATGACGACGGCGACGGTGATCGCGAGAGCGACGTCGCTCATGTCGAGCAGCAGCGGCGGCATCGGCCGCAGTGGCGGTGGCAAAGGCGAGGTCAGCATCGGGAGCGCCAGGAGGAGCAACAGCAACAGCAGCAGCATTGGCAGAAGTACGGAAGGAGGCCCACCGCCAGGGCTGCACACCAACGCCCTGTTTGAGTACGTCAGGCTGCAGCCGGCTGCGTGCCTCCCTGCTTCTCTGCCGTGAAGCTGGATATGCATGAAGTGATTAGCCTTGGCAAGAGCTGACTGTTCATGTGGCCGCTTGTCGTTTCGGCGCTTCGCCCTGTGGCCAGCCAGGCGAGCTCGTCGAGTGTAGGTCCAGGGTAAAGCCGTTGCGCTGGCCGCGGGTTTTCTGGCTTTGCTCCGCTGTCGTGTGCCTGCCAGGTTTTCTGTAGAGACTATAGGAACAAACGCTTGATTAACCCCAAGCGCGTCATACTCAGTGGCGCGACCAAGTATGATATGGTCCCTGCCCGTGCGAAGCTATGTCCTTCATTTCAACGCCAGGTTGTGTGTGATCATGTCTGTTTGTGGGACTGCCAGCAACAAGGCTTCTGCGTGCATGACGCCTGCCCCCATGGAGTGCTCACCCTGGTGTCCGACGATCACTCCGCAGGTACCGGATATTGTTCACTCAGCGGCCTCGGATCCGCCAAGCGGTCTTGCGTGAGCCTCGCTTGGCCGACCCCGCGCTCGTGCACCCCTGGCAGGACTGCACTTCGCGCTTCCCAGTCGCGGATGGCCCTCCCCTGCCACCCCTCCCTTCGGAGCCTGTGGCTCGCCCTCCCCGGTCACCCCTCCAGTCGTGGATGGCCCTCCCCTGTCACCCCTCCCCTGTCCCGCACAGCACGCGTTGGTCCTTCGTCTATGGGCGGAAGAGGAGGAGGGGGAGGAGGAGGAGGAGGAGACTGAGACTGAGGAGGAGGAGGAGGAGGAGGAGGGGGGGGAGGAGGAGGAATCCCCTATGGACGAAGCCATCCCACCCAGTGAAATACAAATCAGGGAGGTGAACAATTGTTTGGGCGGAGAGAGGCTGAGCGCTTGCCTCCACCCCTGCTCTCACATGCCCTTCGAACGAATCGCAAGGACACGTCCAAAGGCGCGGCTGCGTGCCGAGTGCATCAATGGCCACGCGTTGGCGCGAAAAGATGCAACACATGCGGCTTCTTTTTGGGGCGCTGTCTGAAATGAGTTGACAGATGGGCAGTTTCTGCGGGAGGTGATTGAAGACGCGAGTCATGCCGAATAGCGATCGCTGAAGCAATGGCTGTTGACACGGCTCAATGACCAAGTCGGTCGCTCCATCACTACAAGTGATCTCCGAAGCGTTGCGGTTCGTCGTCTTGAATGGGGTTTGCAGTTAGTGTTGAGCAGAGTGGGCCAGTAGCGAAGAGTGCGATGTTAGCGCATATTGCGTTGGTACCACGCTTGTGGGGTCAGCAGCGCAAGTCAAGTGCCAGCAACGCAAAGCGTCGCACTGCCAACAATTCCTGCGTAGCGCCAGCAAGGCTAGCGTAGCGCCAACAACGCCAGTGTAGCAATATCAGTTCCAGTGAAGAGTTGACAACGACAGTGCAGCACCAACTCGGGCAGTGTATCGCCAACAACGCCAGCATGGTGTGAACAGCATCAGTATAGTATACTCTTAAATATGCCAGTGTAGTGTCAGCGGCAGCAGAGTAGCGTCAACGATGCCAGTGCAGCGCCAACAATGCCATTGAAGCGCCACCATAACGAGTGTAGCGCCAACAATGTCAGTGTAGTCTTGATCATGCAAGTATGGCGTCTGCTTCGGTTCGGCTCTTTTACTACAGGAGGTCCTCGGGAAAACTCACCAAGATCTTCGAAACAATTTCGATCGGAAACTCAAGCCCCAAAACAACTTCTAAAAACTCTAAGCCATAACATGGGCAACATCTCAAACCATCAACAACAATTCAACAAATCTCGTCGCCGAAACCTGGGAAACCCTCAAACCAAACAAACACTTGAAACCCAAGACAACAACTCGAAACAGAGACATTGAACAACATATGCTTGATGTTTTGGCGGCTGGAGGGTTTTTATGTTTTGTTTGATGTGTTGCTTAAGTTTCCTAGGCCCGCCGGGGTTTGCATGTTCAGTTTTGGTTAGTTGTGTCCCAGAGTTTTGTTTTAAAGGTTGGTCAGGTTGCCAGAGATCTCTTCAGAGTTGTTTCCAGAGTTTTTTTGTGAACAGAGTTTTCCCAGGGTTGCTTCATGGTTGTTTCTTTAGGCGTTTCGATTTGCCTTTATAGTTTTTACGCTTTACAAAAACGTACGCTGGTATCTCGATTTTTCAGTGTGTTTTCAGAGTTTTCCCATAGTCGTTTTTGTTGGCCAAGTTGGTCAGAGTTTCGGTTGACGTTTTGTTTGGTTTGAGATTTTCCCCGGTTTTTGCTTAGAGTGTGTTTTATGTGTGTTTAAGTGTTTTTGTTTCAGGTTTTGGCTTAGAGGCATTTTGAAGTTTTTGGGGGGTTCGATATGTTTCCAGGTTTTGGTTTAGAGATGTTTTGAAGTTTTTGTTGGGTTTGAGCTGCTCGCAGGATTTGTATTAGATATGGCTTAAATGTGTTTTGTTGGGTATTAGGCTTTCGCAGGTTTGGGCTTAGAGAGTTTGATGTTCTCTTTTAGGATTTGAGTTCCTTCGCGCGATATGGCGGTGGGCCGCCTGTAGCCGCTACTGCCGAACCTAAGCCTTCACAGCGCACATGTAGTGTCCACCGCGCCAGTTTAGTGTCAAGAGCGCAAGTACAGTGCCAAGCATCGAGTGGAGTGCGCTGATAGCGTGGAGTACGATGCTAGCGAAGCGTGCGTTGATACTGCCAGTGTGGCGTCAACGGCGCAAGTGTGCTGCCAATAACACAACGCGCCGCAGTGCCAACAACTCCAGCGTGGCGCCAACCACGCTAGCATGGGGCGAATACCTCAGCGTAGCAACACCAACGCCAGCGCAGTGTCAACAGTGAGAGTGTAGCACCAAGGCCAGTGGAGTAGCGCCAACAACCGACAGTAGCGCCAATAGCAACAGTGCAATCCTAACATTGCCAGTGTGGTGTCAGCGGCAACAGTGCAGCGTCAACAGTGCCAGTGTAGAAGCAACAATGCCAGTGTAGCACCACCAATGCCAGTGTAGGCTTGACACTGCCAGTGCAGGGTCAACAACGCAAGCGCAGTAGTGTCCACAACGCGAGTGTAGTGTCAACAATGCCAGTGTAGTGCCAAGATCGCCAGCGCGGTGCACACAACGCCAGTGTAATGTTTCGCACAGCTTGTCTGCAACGGCCGAGCCGACGGACGACGTCGAATTTTCATTCTAGTACCAGTGCAATGTCGAAGGACTCACGTGTAGCACCAAAACAACGCCAGCGTAGGACCGACAACGACGGTGTAGCGAAACGCGCGCCAGAGTAATGTCAACGACGCCGGTGTACTGCCAACAGTGTCAGTGTAGTACCCACGCTGCCGGTGTAGCTTCACCGACACTAGTGTAGCGCCACCAACGCAATTCCGCAAGACAACGCACCGTAGTGTTTCCTGAATGATTCCTCAGTGCGGCTACGACGTCGCTATCATGCTCGAAGCACCGCGTGATTTGAATGCACAACTCTTGAACCACCAGAAGGTTTCGCCATCACATTTGCAGCTTGCACTGGTACGAGGTTCTGGGGTTCACATTCGGTCAAAGGGCCGGAATTATGGGGAGCTCCCAACAGACGGAAGCAGTAGATGATGCAGCGGGAGTTCTAGCAACGCAGTTCGTTACCAGTGCTCGCCATCGTGAAACAGTGGTTTGGTCGTCGACGGACGCACTTTGAGGTAGAATACCTCATCGCACCAGGAGTTCCTTACCAGCTATAAGGTTGAAGGGATCATCCGACTGCGTGTGGGAGTGACCCTTTACCGAAGTGGTCGTCGGGGCGGATCCGCAGCGGTCCTCCCAGCATTGGCTGGCGCGTTTCGATGTTGCGCCCTTCGCGGCCTTCGAAATTCGCGCACCATTGGTCACTCTTGTCCAGGGCCGCTCATACGTGTAAGCGATTAGTATACGCATTGTCGGAACAGACTGAGCGCTGCATATCGGATTATCTCTGGACTCGTCCAGAGACGAGGACGGGAAAGAGGAGACGGAGGGAACAGAGCAGCAGCAGCAGCAGCAGCAGGAGGGGGGAATGAGAAGGAGGAGCTGCAGCAGCAGACATCGTTGATGCAAGCCGTCCTTCTCATGCCGCTCAGGCGAACGCTCGCTCGACGTGCGGATGACCCGCGGGCCTGCCATATGTTCGGGACCCGGCCGTGGGGGCTGGAATCGTGTGTGAAGCCCGTACGGTACCTCCTGCGGGGTCGGGCTGGGGAACGCTGGACGAGCCAGACCTCCACGGCGGCGCCAAACGCAGCGGCCCGATTGTTCAGGTCAGCAGTTCTTGTGGAATGCCGTTCGAGGACCACTTCATCCAAGGGCCTCATGACGTGCCCAAGCTTCGCAATATGAATTGCGGCGCCGATGCGAGATTACGATCTTTCTGAAGAAAGTGCGGCCCAGTCGTCTTATTGTTGGTAAGTTCATTATCAATGATGTTGTAAGTCAGAGTCGCGCCAGACTGGTCCTTGAGCGACATGCGCCCATCCGTGTAGCCGTTGGAAGTTCAACAGTTCGGGGACTCAAGAAGTAATGACGTGTGTCATTGGAAATCGTGGCACAGTTTCGATTGCCTCTGGAGTCGGCGCTGAGTTCGAAACATGGCGCCCTCCATCTGCACCCGTGTTGCATTGCTGATTGGTTTCCCGTCCGGTTTCATCCGTTCGAGCAGCACTTGATGATCATATGTCCTGTAGACGTTTCAGGCGCAACGCCCTGGCCGCCCTGCCGACATGTCTGATAGCGCGAAGATGCGGAGAAGTTGTTGACGCGGATGAAGGGGTGACGGCAAGATTCCGCGTGCCTGAAGGTCTTGTCAGGCAGGTGGACACAGCGGACAAGCAGGGATGCGCAAGGGGATGAGCAGCAGCAGGAGGAAAGAGAGGCGGCGCGAGGACATCGAAAGGGGGAAGGGCCCGCCGGGGCCCTCAGCGAGCCCCGGGACCCGCAGACGAGGGCTCAGGATGAAGCACCAGCCTTGTAGGGAAGTTGTCCAGACCTCCGGGTGTGTGCGCCTTAGCCGCAGGCCGAGCCCCGGGCGCTCGGGGAGGGCGTGGGGCGCGAGCGAGCCCAGGGCGGCCCCGCCCGCAGGCTGGGAGGCCAGCTGTATTTCGTGGGGGGCAGGGCCAGCGTCCAGGCGCTGCAGGACGGGGCCCCAGGGTGGCGCTCTCGCGGGGGCATTGTTGAGGAGGTGGGAAGAGGATGATGCAGGACTGTGCAGGCCAGGCCGCTCCAGATTCCGTGAACGCCAAGGAGCCCTGTGAAGCGGCCCGCAGGGTGGCGGCTTGGCCTTTGCCACCCCCCGCGCGAGGCGAAGCACCCCAGGGAAACAACACTGGCCAGACAATGAGGAGGGCCCCCAGGCCGCGGGTCACCACCCACCGAACCACCCCAACCCAACCCGAAGGCTCAGATTTACCCTCGATTTCCAGTGGGGGGGGTCGGGAAACATAGAACAAACACATGTGGAACCCTTACCCCCCCCTACCCGAAATTCGGGTCTCCGGGTTGGGTTGGGGTGGTCTGGTAGGTAGTCAGCGGGGGGGATGGAGGAAGAGAGGGGGGGGCGGAGCGAGGGGGCGGAGCGGGGGGGGCGGAGCGGGGGGGAAGAACGGGGAAGGGGGGGCGCGACGGGGAGGGGGCGGGGGCGGGGAGGGAGCGGGGAGGAAGGAGGTCGAGGACGAGGCACGAGAGAGGGTGGAGTGGACAAATCGGGAAGGAGGGGGAGGATCAGAAGGAGGAGGAGGAGGAGGAGGAGGGGGAGGGAGTGAGGGGGGAAGGAGGAAGGCGGAGCAGGTGGATCGGGAGTTGCAGGTGGATCGGGAGGCGCAGGGGGAGAGGGAAGGAGGTAGAAACCAACGAAGAGAAGGTGAAGGGAGTGGGGAGGGCGTGTGGAGGGGGTGGAACGGAGACGTGGCAGAGCGGAGCGGATAGGATGTAGGGAGGATGGGAGGGAAATGCAGGAGGCAGGAGGCTTGGGGAGGGGAGGGGAGGGGGGGGGTGAGGATGGGGGGAGGGACAGGGGAACAGAGAGAAAAGGGAAGCGTAAGAGCGCCTCCCCGTTCTCGTCCTTCTCATTGCTCTCCACATGCATCATATCACCCCTCCCCCGCGCCATTCTCCATCCTCCTCCGCTCTGCCCATCCTACCTTCCCATTTCCCCACGTACAGCCCCCTACCCCCGTGTGCCCCTGCCGCCTCCAGCCGCCCCCCTTCCCCGCAGGATGTCTGTGGGCTGAAGATGACGCCCGGCGTCTCCGGCAACCACCAGCTCCTCGCCAAGGAGTTGCCCTTCGAGGTCTCCAGCGATACTGGTTCGGGTACTGGCCACTGCCTCAGGGATGCGAACGTTGGACGTTAGAGCTAGTTGTAGAAGTGGTCGCGGGGGCAGCCACAACGGAAGTGGTAGCCGCAGATGTGTTGGCAGTGGTAGCAGTGGCAGTGGGAGTGATAGTGGAAGTGAGCGTTGCAGCAGCGGGGTCAGCACTCTTCAGTGGGGCGGACCACCAATTCGGTTGTCCCTGGATGCGTGGCTGATGAGGGGCACTCGCTTGTTGCCGTCGTCGTCGTCGTCGACCCGCGGCACGACCCGCCACCCGCACGCCTCAGTGCGTGAAAGGATTCGTCTGCCCGCGACCCGCTTGCCACTCGCCCGCGATCCGCTTTCGACCCACCCCCGAACCACACCCGCGACTCACGCCCGTGACGCGCGGCAGCGACTGGCGATTGTAGCGCGCGCATGCGACCCGCGGCCGCGCCCTCGGAAGAGAGTCAGCGTGAGGAGGACGAGGAGCCGTAGCAGCGCTTTTTTTGACGTGCGAAAGCGAGCACACGCACAGCCGCGGCGCTCGGCCCCGCCCAAAGGCTCAATCCGGGACCTTTGGGAGCTGCGCAATGCGTTGCGCCGCCAAGCATGCAAACGCCTCCGCGCTGCCACCCGAGCGGGGCAATTCGCCAAGGAGCAGCGCCGCCTGGCACCGCGCCGGCAGACGCTCCCGCCAGCCCGGGCACGCGCTCCCCAGCCGTAGCAGCGCACGTGCTCCGCCCCCTCCGGTCTGTGCTCGTCGTTTTACGGCTTTTCCTCCTGCTCCACTCTTCAGCCACCAGCTGAGATCGCATGTTGCTGCCATTCTTCAACGGCGGATCCGCCTGATCCTCCTCCTCCTCATCCTCCTCTTCCTGCTCTTGCTCCAACCCCTGCACTCAGTGCTTCTCCTCCCGCTCCTGCTCCTCCCTCTCCTCCTCCTCCTGCTTCTCCTGCTCCTACTGCTCGTCCTGCTGCTGCTGCTGCTGCTGCTGCTGCTGCTGCTACTGCTCCCTCTGCTCCTTCCGCTTCTCCTGCTCCTCATTATACTGCCTCTTCTCTTCTCATCGGTCCCGATCCTCTTGTCCCTGCTCCCTCATTGCTCCCCTCCCCCTCCAATGCCTTTATTGGGCATCGATCGCATTCTAGGCGTACTGGCTATGAAGCAATATGCAATCTGGCATGCTAACGAACTGCACAGGCGAACTCTGGACCCAGCCCGAGGGGTTGTGTGTGGGGCGGGGGATGGGACCGCGGTCCGAGGCAGCGGCTTTCCGCCACAACTGCCTGTCCTCAACCAGGCGGGCTCGGCAGGAGGGGGGTGTTTTGAGGAAGAGAGGAGGAAGAGAGTGTGGGCGCATTCTCCTACCGCTTCCTCCGTTCCCCATCCTCCATCATCGTGCGCCTATGTTCTTCCTCGTCCTCCTTGCTTCTCCTCTTTTCTTTGTGGGAAACTCCCCCCCCGCGAGGGCCAGGCTGCACTCTGGAGTCAGAGCTCTGCTTTGGTTAGTTTGGACACGGCGTAGAGGAGCAGGGAAGAGGAAGACGAGCACGAGGAAAGTACGGGAAATGAGGGGGCAGGACAACAAGGATGTTGATGAGTAGTGGGCGGGAGTTGGTGGCATGAGGAGTAGGGAGTGCCCCATCCTCCTCGACCGGCTCTGCATGCTCTTGTGGCACGCTGGTCATCCTCCTCCTCCTGCTCCTCCTCCTCCTCCTCCTCCTGTCATGCTGCTTCGGGCGAACCCCACCCAGGGAGGTGCTGCATATGCTGTGGCGTTCAAAAGATTATGTAGATTTAACGTTTTTCTTATTCGTAGCGGCTACAGGACGTTCTACGATGATCGATATGTTTCAGTCGTCGGCGCTCCCTGGCGGCAGAGGGCCACTGGCCGCTGGGGAGGGGCAGTGGCAGCACCCGTCGAGGATCTGGGGCCCGCCCCTGAGCCCGGGGAGGCGGAGGGGGACGACGACGACGACGACGACGACGACGACGACGACGACGACGACGACGACGTCGACAACGACGACGACGACGACGACGACGACGACGACGACGGCCACCACGACGAGAACGACGACGACCACGACCACGACGACAGGGTCTGGGAAGAGTTGAAGGGGATGGCGGGCACCATGTAGGCGCCCTGCGACACCAATGCTCTCACCCGCCTCCTCGCCCCCCTCATCCAGAGAGCTGGCTCGTCGAATTGCCCGGCCAGCGTACGGCTGATAGCAGCACCCTGTCTTCGACCTGGTATGGATACCGCGAACAATATCATGGACATGTGGTGGTCCCCCCTCTTCGGAGATAGGTGGGCCTCCATCGTCAAAGCCTTCTTCTTCGTGCCGCACCCCTTCGAAATGGTGCTCCCCGGCTGGAATAGCGGTGCCACACCCGCATGGGGCTCGCAGTGTTTTCTCTGGGCTTTGTTGGGCCGAAATCCACCCCCAGGGTCATGACCTTCAACGCGTCCCTCCTGGAGTTGGAAGCGGTCTCCGGCACAACGTTGGACATGCTCGCCGCCAACATCCCAGCTTTTCATGTCATCATGCAGAAGCCGCCCATGAGCAACATAACATAGACTGCCGACATCAAAACCGAAGCACTCCGTGGACCTCCTCTTTCCGGAGGGTGTCGACCAGTTCGCCCAGTTCCTGCAGCTCCGACATCTCCGTCGCACCGTCTTCCCCGAGAGCACGTTCTTTGGCAGCACGCTGGTGTACAATGTCTGCAACGGCGTGATCCTCGAGCTCAGCTCCCCGATCTCCTTGCCCCATTATTTGCTTCTCTGTACACAGCTTCTGATCATCTCGAAGATCAGAGCGCTTGTTTACTCCGACGTAACTTCCGAGACGTGAACGGAGGTCCGCGATTGTTGTCTTAAGGAAGTCCCCTCTACAGCGGCCACTGTGCTGAAGTCGAAGCCATTGCGTAATGGGGTCGACCCTTTGCCACTCCCTCGGCAATCCTTTCCGCGACCTCCGCGACAAAGCAGAAACCGAAACGCTGCAACAACTAACAACTTGTACGACCACATCACCGGCGTCAGGATCAAAGGGGAGGTGGGCCGGGAGGATGGGGATGTCTTTCGCCGCATCCCCTTGCACGCCTGTTCGACCATTGGGCTTGTGCTGTCCGAGACCGCACTGGACGCCGTGCCGAAGGTAGGGGAGCTTTGCCACCTCGTCTCCAAGGACCAGTACGCGCCCCCTGTTGGCCTACGGCTCATGTTCCGCAGCACCGATGAAGCTCGCAGGGTTCATGCCGCTCCCCATAGGCAGACATCCCGCGCAGGTGCGGACAGGGTCGCCATCGAGATCCCGAGCACCCCTGTGCAACTGGGGCCCCTGCCGGGAAACGGAAGGCGGCAGCTGATCGAGACACTGGCGGCTGCCGCTTAGACACGGGGGTGTCTTTCGGGCCCAGGGCACGGGCTTGAAATGTATTGCACGAACACGCCGCGGGCCCAGGGCACGGGCCTGTCGGCTGCATGCCGCTGTCGCCAATTCCTAAGTCTCTGGGTGGTCGCGGGGCAAGCCGCCTCGCCAGTCCATCGACGACTTAACGACTGCTCATATAGAACAGGCGTGCCCAGATCATGCAGAGTATGAGGGAGGCGTCACGACGTCACGCCGTCCACAGACATCTAGAGCGGACAGGAAAGAGTAGACATAAGAACGCGCGTCAAGGGATAGACTCTGAATCAGCACTACGCGCACACATACCAACGTTACGCAGCAGGGGCTTCAAGCAGCAACACGCATCGCTAACCCACATAGAGACCGTACACAGACGACATACACCAATACTATACATCGCGCGCAGACGCCAGTAGACGCGTGTAGCATGCACCATTAGCACGTACCAGGGACCCACTCGCAAGTACAGGTAGCGTGCACCGTTCGCAGACGCTGATAGACCACAGTTGACTAGCATACATCACTAACCGCGCCTACACAAGAAACACGCGCCCACACAAGAAACACGCGCCCACACCATCCATTCCGCACATAACCGAAACCGGATATCACCATCGGGAATCATCAACATAAGCAACGACGTAGCAGTTTTGCCTCCCCGGGTCAAGGCTGCCTTGGTGCGCACCTGGTTCAACGGGTGGTGCACGGGACGCCGGTTCCAGCAGCGCTGTGCCTGCATCTTCGGCTGTCCCGCCGAGGAATCCATAGAGCATTACTCCCTGTGCCCAGTTGTACAGGAATTCGCCTGGCGGTACCTCGCCCTGCCTCCTTCCCCCTCCGCGCTCTCTGAGTTTCTGTTACTTTCACACCCTGGGCAGAGTTTCGGCCAGAACATCTCCGTCCGCATGGCGGTCCGCACGGCGGCCGTGTATAGATTGCATTGCCGCTGGCAGCATGCGGCCTCCGTCACGACGCCCGCCGCCTCAACCTTAGGCCAAACGGCGCTGGAGTTGGTTCGCGGGCACCCCGCCGCGCGCACAGTGGCGTCCGCGCATGTGGGCACCCGCCCGCCGCCGCGGCCCTAGTGGGCTCGGCTTGTCTTGCTTGCCCGTCCCCCCGGCCTCCCCTTCCCTCTCCTCGCCTCTCCCTGCCGCTGCCGCCGCTGCCGCTCCTCCACCTTCAGTTCGCGTGATAGTGTGTTCGATTCGCTCCGGCTGGAGCTGCACTCGCGGGGGCTCCCGAGTGCTTGGGTATGGACCTCTGGATGGCCCGCTGGAGCCATCAAGTTTTGAACGCAACATGTGCCCGATCTGTCAGATACGATTTAAGTGGGAATTCGTATCGGTCGGCCCGTGCGGGCAGACGCCTGCGACAGGCAGCAGGTTGTCTCGTCCTCGTCCTCCTCCTCCTCCTCCTGTCATCGGAGTTGTCCTCCTCCTCGTCCTCGTCCTCGTCCTCGTCCTCGTCCTCCTCCTCCTGTCATCGGAGTTGTCGGGTATAAACAGCTAGATGCTTGCTTTCCGTCAGCGGAGCTGTCGGGTATAAACAGCTACGTGTTTTTCCCCGTCATCGGAGTTGTCGGGTATAAACAGATAGATGCTTGCTTTCCGTCAGCGGAGCTGTCGGGTATAAACAGCTAGGTGTTTTTGTTTCCCGTCAGCGGAGCTGCCGGGCATAAACAGCTAGATGTTTGCATTTTGTCAGCGGCGCGGTCGGAGAGAGTGGGGCAGGAGAAAAAAATACGACGTAACACCAAGAACAGCCAGAAATACCTTGCATCTCTAACAGATGGCAAGGTCAAACACGTCTTTTTCTCAGCTGTGGCTAGTCTTCATAATTGCCTCACGTCCAAAACTGACATCGGCATCCGAATGCGAAATCGTACCGCCAGGAGCAGCGAACTGGAACAGACACCAATGTCATTCACCAGGGTCTTTTTACAAAGAACATCATCCAAGAGCAGACATCAATGCCATAATGGATTCACAGACATCTTGATGTATACGGATGTTCTTTGGTGAGGGGTCGCCCGCACCAAAACAGGTTCACAGGGCGTTCGTTCCACTTGCAGGCCCCAGGGACAGTTGCCGTACAGACACGGGTTTGCGGTAGGGCGCTTTGAGGAGTGGGCTTGCGACGGGAGGATGTACTTCTGCATCTTTGACGCATCCACGGTTTACTTTAGTCATCCCATTCCCCTTTCGACCTTCTCCCCTGCTACGAGCGCTTTTCCCACTCCTCCTCCCCCTACTCCTCCTCCTCCACCTCCTCCTTCTCGTGCCAGGACATCCCGCCTACTGGGCAACACGAAGGTACACATCAATATTTTTTGTTTCGTCTGGTTTTTACCGCATCTGGTTTTAAAACTATAGTTTCGTTTTTGTTAGGGGGGATCCTCGTTTGGGTTTGGACGCGATATATTCAGCAACCGTTGTTTGACCTCGGTGCGAGCAGACTCCATGGGGCCCGCCCTCTCGCGAAGGAGGGGGATGCACCCCGACTCCCACAAGCGGCGTTTACTGAACAGCCCTGTGCGTTCACTAGCAAGCTCTGTCCTGTTGGGTTCTTCCCTGAGGCGCGGTTGCCGAAGGGCTTCGCTTGCGCGAGGTGCATGTGATGAGGCAGGTCTTCCCGCCGTCCACGCTCGCTTTTGTCTGAAATCCTGGTGCTTCCTCGACAGTAGCGCGCTGACGGGTTACCCACGGCGGCGTGTCGTTAATATTGTTTTTGCTCCCCCTCATCCGGGCTCCGTCTGTCGTCCAGCCCCCGAACCTCCTCTTCCTCCTCCTCCTCCTCCTCCTCCTCCTCCTCCTCCCCCTCCTCCTCCTCTTACATATATACACACGGCCTACAAAGAAGGTCATCAAATTCATTTCGAAGCCCCGTAGCGCCCACGATCAGCAGAGATGATCGGGCGCAGAGGCACGGACATCCGCGCCTCCGAAACAAATAAAGGATAAACACTAGTGGAACACAACTTCTTGCTCCAGCAAACAAGCCGGGGGGGTCCCAAGTTCAATCCGCCAGGGCCGAGACATCCGCATTCCTTCCGGACATGGGAGTTTGTAGGCTCTCAGCTGGCGGGTTTGCTTGTTTTCAATTTCGCCGGAGAAAACCCCGTCAGTGGATGATTTGTAAATTCTTCACGCTTCGCGTATCCCCACCAGCCCATCTCAAAACAGCAACTCTAGCGAAGCATGCCGACAGTCGTGTTTTTCAGGCGTGTTTCCGCCTGCCCCCGCATATCTCCCCTGTTCCTCCTTCCTCCCGCCTCCTTGTACATCCTCCTTGTGGTGGGAGCGGGAGAAGGACGAGGCGGAGGAGGAGGGAGAGAAAGCGCTCCTCGTGGTTTGAGTCGTTTGGGGTTTCTCGTCCTGGTGTGAGTCGTTCGGGCCCTTCTTCCTGGTGTGAGTCGTTCGGGCTCTTCGTGGTGTGAGTCGTTCGGGCTCTTCGTCCTGGTGTGAGTCGTTCGGGCTTCTCGTGGTGTGAGTTGTTCGGGCCCCTCGTCCTGGTGTGAGTCGTTCGGGCCCCTCCTCCTGCCCGTCCAGAAACGACGCCCAGGCGAGTAGAGGGTCGTCCTGATGGGCTTTTCGGCGTCTTGGGTGCCTCGGGGGGGCCTCTTTGGGCCGTTTGGGATCCTCTTGGGGGCCTCCTGGGGGCCTCTTGGGGCCATCTTGGGGCCTCTTGGTGCCTCCTGGGCGCTTCTTGGGGCCATCTTGGAGGAAATCGATCAATGAAGAGGGGAGCTTTAATTAGCGCCGCCCCCTCAGAAGGCCAAAATGGGGCCAAAACCGTCGTAAAATCAATGATTTTGGCTTGAAAGAAGAGGGGAGCTTGAATTAGCGCTGCCCCCTCAGAAGGCCAAAATGGGGCCAAAACCGTAGTAAAATCAATGAATTCGGCGTCAAAGAAGAGGGGAGCAGTTTTCTGCCTCCCCCCGTCGGGGCCAGAATCCTCGTGAGGGGTGTCGTTGTTTTGCCCTCCCAGGAGTCGAAAAAGACCCCTCCAACCACCCGCGGGGCGCCCTCTCCAGGCCCAGGGGGAGGGGGTAGGGGGAGGGGTAAACCCCTCCCCGAAGGGGAAGAAGGGGGGGTGAGAACAGAGCGGGCTCTCTAAACCACTCACGCCCAAAGGGCTGGTGGGATTTATATTATGGATCTTGAGATCGATTGTGAGATCGATAATGAGATCTATACTGGAATCGTTAGTGATGACGATTGTAAGGTCGATCGTAAGACCGAGAGTGAGATCGATTCGATGAGATCGATAGTGATATCGTTCGCGAGACCGGTCATGCGATCTCTAGTGAGATCGCTTATGATACTGATATTGAGATCGATTGTGAGATCGATGGTGGGATCGATCGAGAAGTTGGCAACGAGATCGATGGTGAGACTGATCGATAAGAAGATCGACCAGGAACCCGGGAACCCGGGAACCTCGCCGCCCTCCGACATCGGCTCGGAACCCAGAACCGGGAACCCGGGAACCCGGAACCGGGAACCCGGGAACCTGGGATCCCAACTTACCGCCAAAATCGGCTGGGAATTCTCGCCAAATCAATCAAGTTCCGCGAGGACCCCGTCAGTGCAAGCACTGATTGGGGAATATTGCTGCAACCCTCCGCCAAGTGGACCGCTCTCCCCGTGGAGTCGGGTCCACACTTCAGGCAGAAGACGACAGGGGCACCAGTAGTTTCATTTCTTGCAGCCCACAGGGTGTAGGGCGGCGATGGCCTGCTCTCCCACGAGAGCAACTGAAAAAGAGATCTGGGCAATGGAACGCGCGGGCCACGGCGACTTATCCACGGAAAGGCAGTAGATCTCCCGCACTGGACGCAGTGCCAGCGGTTCAAAGTCCAGCGGAATTCATGAAATATGCGCCTCGGGGTTCTTGGGGTCGGGGTTTTGGGCCTCCTGGCAAGGTCCCCAAAGACGTCCCTCGCTTGACCCCAAGACCCCCAAACAGACGTAAAGGCTCGG